GAAAACATCGACTGTGTTTTCTGCTGAGAATCCGGTGGAGAATTTGTGCTGTGACCCACGTGACTCTGGCTTCCACCCCCGGAACTTTTCCTCTCCCCTCACGGAACGGCAGAACACGGTGCATTTCCCAAGGATGAGTGACTCTGCAGAAATCCGTTTTAATAACGTGCTAAATGACAGCACCACAAATCACTTAAGTCTTCACCGATCTGCAGTCCAGTTCCGCAGAGTGAATTCTTGGAATCCTGGTCTCCCTTCGATAATGCACCTTCAAAGGAGCACCTGACATTTCCCTAAGTAACTGCTTACATCTGCCATGTGTCACATCTTGGGGTTCTCGCCTTTCCCTCCAACACGCCAGGAGGATGAAAACAACACAGGGCCCCCAAAGGAAGAGGGCGTTAGGGGGTGTTGTCTGCTCACTAGTTTGGAGGCAGGTTCTGGTCCCCACGTGGGCCAGACATACACAGGGTTCAAAATGGGAAAGAAATGGCCCACTTCCTACTGTCCTACTTTCTAATTCAGACTGCTGCTGGCATTAGCAAGGAAGGCAATGGGCGGCAGAGAGATCTGGAGAAAAAAATTGAACCTGCTGATTCTTCAACTCTCAGATTTGTGCAGATGGCAGAATCCTTGGAAGTCATGCTGCCCCTTGCAGAACACAGTGAGATACTGACACAGTAAAAAGGAAAGACGAAATGGAAAAGTGTGTGTAAAAGCAGGTGCCATGGAACACTGGATTCCAGGCTGCATGAGCCTGAAGGTTTTAAGGGTTTTGGTGAAGAAAAACGAGCAAATTCTACCCACTAGGTTTAATCCCCTGTACACCTTCCGTCTCCCGCCCCATATGGGAAAGGCACCGCCTTGAGTGACGGTCAGCAGTGGATGAGCTTGTGGAACACACTTTGGAGCACAGGGTGTGAGCAGTACATCATGGGTGCCTCACAGTCAAAGCCTATATTGCTGAGCAGCAGGTAAGAGCCAGCACCACAAACTCAAGTGTCTCCGGGGGCCAGGCAGGTAATGCGAGTGACTATGGGAGAGAAACAGCCAAACGCTAAGAGCGAATGGCAGGGAAGGCTCGGCTCAGTGTGCAGGAGGCAGCAGAGTGGCGGGGACTGTAGCCAAGTGTGGTCCAGCGGGAATGCAGGTGGGTATGTGTCTGCTCTGGCTGCCATAACAAAATACCACGGACCGGGTGGCTTCAGCAGCAGACAGTTATTTCTCACAGTTCTGGAGGCTGGGAAGCCCATGACCAAGGTGCCAGCAGATTCAGTTCTGGGTGAAGGCTCTCCTCTTGGCTTGCAGATGGCTGCTTTTTCACTGTGACCTCATGTGGCAGAGGGGAGAACTCTGGTGTCTCTTCCTCTCCTTCTAAGGACACTAATCCCATCATGGGGACCCGCCCTTATAAGCTCATCTAACCCTGATCACCTCCCAAAGGCCCCATCTCCAAATGCCACCACATTGGGGATTAGGACTTCAACATATAAATTTGGGGGGGCACAAACATTCAGTCCATAATAGGGTGTGACCAATTCTGAGTTTTCCAGAGAAGCCTGATATATGATGTTTTAAAAATATGATACCTTCTAATTTTTTGATGTTGGCAACACTTTAATTAAGAAAAAGTAATAACATGGGCCTAGAGATTACCCTACAAAGTGAAGTAAGTCAGAGAGCAAAAGACAAATATCATGATATCACTTGCATGCAGAATCTTAAAAAATGATACAAATGAACTTATTTACAAAACAGAAACAGACTCACAGACACAGAAAACAAACTTACGGTTACCAAAGGGGAAAGGTGAAGTGGGGGATAAGTTAGGAGTCCATGATTAACAGACACACACTACTATATATAAAATAGATATTAAAAAAAGAAAAACAACAACAACAAATAACAAAACCCCACCGGAAGAGTCAAATAAAAGAGGTGGGAGGGTCGGGCTCCATCCACAGGCTGCGGGTTTGTCACCCATGTCCTCAAGCCACGGGCTCTGGCACCAAACAGCCCGGGCCCCCTATGTGCTGGTAGGTAACCATGGGGTCACAAGGTAACCTCTCTGGCCTCATTTTCCTTGTCAGTATTAGGTGGAACCTTATGAGATTGCCCTTTCATTGGCAACTTTGTAAGGCTCCATGTAATAAAATGAAGATATGGTGTCCACCTAATTAACAGGCTCTCAGGAAGACTGGATGAGGTGAAACCTACAGCCAGAGCTTATAGTAAATGCTCAATAAGCGAGGGGAGGAAGCCAGGCAAGGCCATCCTTAGTCAACAAGTCCACTCATGTTCAGTAGCTGAATGGGATCCTTAGGGCCCTGAATCAGCATTTGAAAGACCTGAGGAAATCTGTCAAGATTATAATAATCACACTTTGGGGAGTTTATTTCCTTAGTTGAGAGAGATGTTTTTTTAAGTAGGAATCTCTCAGGGTGAGATTCTGAGCTGAGACACCAGACCTGCTGTTTTCTGGGGCTGCACAGAAAGGAAGTTATCACGTGGAGGTTCACCAGCATGGACAAACTGGGCTGCAGCTCACCTTCCATCACCCCCAAATGAAACAATCTGCAAGCTCCAACCTGTAATCCCATCTCACTCAAAAAAGACAAAGGAGGAGAGGGCAGCTAACTGTGGAACTGCAAGGAAAGCCGAAGGGCAAGCTGTTTAACTTCAACTGGGGTCGAGACCAATGTTGAGTCCAGAGTCTCGTGTCAATATTGTGTCCCTTGCCACAATCTCCTACCAAAATGCTTTGTGCTTTTTAAAGCCCATGAAATTGAACCTCACATTCTCTCTGCTAATTAGGCACAACGCTTTCTCTCTCAGCTGTCATCAATGACAACCAGAGTGGCTGGGACTGCACAACACGCCGAGACACTTGAGTTAAAGTGCAATTGTCACAATTCGGCAGGCTGATGTTTGGTGCGCTCTCCACCAGAGCTGCCTGGACCACCTGCCCTGGCAGTAGGGGCACCAGCTATCCCGTACGAGGCAGCCTCTTCTTCTCACACGTGAGGTGGGCAACCTTTCTTAGCACTGGGGTCTCAGGACTACCTCTCAGATTCAATTTTCATCAGGAAATTTGGCCAAAACACACCTGACCCAGTGAGAGGTTGATTTCCAACACTCATCACAGGCCAGGGGGCTGCCTTTAAAAGATGAAGGGGACCTCCTCTCATGAACTATAGTGGCATTTTCAAAACAGCAAGATCAAGGCCCTAGCATCACAAATAACTGAGTAAAAGAAAAATTCAGCTTTCCATATGGTATATTCTGTTTGGGGGGGGAGAAAGGCATCTTTTTATCACAGATAGCACAGTACAATTATACCTTCTCATAAAGGTCCTGAAACAATTAGAAAGACATAAGCAAGTGGCTTGGCTGCCATTTCAAAGCCCTAAGCAGGTAAGAGGGGCAGCCCTGCCGATGTCTGTCTGGTTGGAAGTTCAACTTGGAAATTCTGGAAAGTGTGATGCCAAAGGCACACTGTTCCCCCCACAGACAGACGCAGAAATAAGCCCCGGCTTGAGTCACAGCATCACCGTTAGGACAAAACAGATCCCCAAACCCTCAGCACACCATTTAAAAGAGCTCTGGGGAAAGGAAACTCTTGCTTCGTCCCAGCAAATCAGTGTTTTTCAAGTGACAAGTCCCAACCCACTTTCAGAGGCCCACAGGTTAGCGATATGGATTCTTATATCGATCATTTCCACTATGATGGTAACGTTTTAGAAATAATATACAGTTGACCCTTGGACAACATGGGTATGAGTTACACAGGTCCACTTACACACAGATATTTTTCAATAAATAAATTGGAAAAATTTTTGGAGATTTGCAACAACTTGAAAAAAACTCGCAGATAAACTGCATAGCTTAGAAATACTGAAAAAATTAAGCAAAAGCTAGGTATGTCACGAATGCATAAAATACAATGTAGAGATACAAATAACATACAAACTATATGTTAAGTGACTACTTATGTCATTGGTAAGGTCAGCAGTAGGCTATAAGTATTTAAGTTTTGAGGGAGTCAAAAGTTATACACAGATTTTCAACTACAGGGGGGGTTGGCACCTCTAACCCCTGTATTGCTCAAGGGTCGAGTGTAATTATATTCTTTGGCATCTGAAGACTTTATAAAAACTAAGGATGCTTCATCATTTGGGTTCCCTGAATCCAAGGGTATAAATGTTGCAGTGTGATGAGAGACTTATGAGAACAGAGGGAACTGATCAGTGATAACGTAGTGACACCAGTGAGGCCCACCTGCCCCCAAGGTGAGGCCCAAACACATGTTTCCCAGCGACGTGACCCAAGGAAAGTCATGGCGGGGGAGGTGTGGTCAGCACGCGGACCACCGGCGCGGTACACGGCACGTGGCGAGCTCAGGAGAAGCTGCTGCACGCCGTCGTGAGCAAAGATTTGGTTTCAGAAAAAGTAGCATTCGCTCTGTTAACTGCTGATTCTGAATTGCAATGATTTTGTAAGTGCTTAACATGTAAACTTCTTTAATTTTCTTTTTTACTTTTATAAGACATATAAGAAAAAGGAATTTATACCTAGTTTTAAGTTGGTTCATTACTTAGGTAATATTAACATGAAAGTAATCTAAGTCGGCACCAGTGGGAGTCTGCGAGAAGTTTCCTTGGGTTCACTGCCCACATGCTGAAGAAAGCCTGACAGAGACCACTTTAGCTCTGGAACACCTGTGAGCTGTAAGCTTTCCTTTGATCAAAATGTACCAAAGTATAAAACCACAGAGTCCTGCGTTTTTCGCGAGCCTCAAATCAACAATGCTCACTTGTGGGCTCATTCTCTCGTGAGCCCTTTAAACTCCCAGATGCCTTGACCCAAGTCTCCACATCAGCACCTCGCAGGCTCTGGGGCACAGCCAGGTCGTGGCGCGTCCAGGACGCAGACACATGCAACCGCCGGAGAGAGAAGGAAGGAGGTGTGGGGCGGAGCACGTGAACGCGGCCGGTACTCACATAAAGAAGGGCATCAGCTGGACCAGGGTCTCTTTCTGGGGGCTGGCGGCAAACTCGGGGACCACCTGGATGACTTTGTTCATGACGCTGCGCAGGTAGTTCTGGAGCTGCTTCCTGCGTTCCTCCACAAACTTGGCGTCCTGGGAAGATGGACAGACAGGTGTGCTCAGCTATGCTTTCCTCACCCACCCGGAGACGGACGACCCGGAGAACACATAACCATCAATCATCACCACCCAGAGCGAGTGCAAGTGGTGCCTCAGGCTTTACACGTGTGATCACGTTTAATAATGGGAGATGCTCGCGATAGTATTATTGTTAAGTGGGGGAAGGCAGGTCCACGAAACTTCCTACAGTGTGTTCCCAGGAATGAATGAAATCTCAGCACCTGCAACGTGCCGAGTATGGTGCTGGGACCCGGGACAGACCATAAACACGCAGGGTCACTGCTGTGGCCCTGGTGGAGGTCACGGGGCCAGTGGGGGAGACACCAATAAATCCAGTGACCACACAGGTCAGCATATAACTATTCATCATACTCAACGCCGCCCTCCAGAAAGGATGCTTAATTTTGCCTTCATGGGAATTTTCTGAAATACGAATCAGTTGCCACTATTTAAGAAAGATTTCATTAATAAACAAATTCCATTTTCTCTGAAAAACTAGGAGAGGTAGCAGCGCAGTCCCACCCCCAGGGCTACTCCGGGCCGGGGCTGCTCGGTGCGCCCCGAGGCAGGCACAGGGCCCCAGATCCGCGCTCAGGACCCTCCTGGCTCACACTGCCACCCACCCCTGTGTCTGCCTGGCCTTCGTAGGCAGGGCCAGCTCCTAGGCGTGTGCTCTGGTCAGTCCCTCAGGGTCAGAGCTCGACCTGTGTGGTGATCTGCCGTCCTCATGTTGAAACTCAATAATTTTGGCACGAGGGACCTCACATCTGCCTGCTGCCCTGGGACCCACAGAGCCTGGAGCCTGTCCTGCTCATGTGCAGCTACACTGGGGGCCTGGCTTAGAACCAGGAAACCAGGACCGGTGTGGGGCAGGAAAGGCTTTCTCTGAGGAAGTGATGCTCCTTCCAGACTGAAGGCTGAGTGGGGTGAATAGGGGAGAGCAGAGCGAGGGCGGCAGAAGGAACAGGGTCACTCAGCTTCACAGGGACACGAGAAGCCTCACATGACACACGAGGAAACTGTGGCCCAGAGCGGGGCCGGGCCGCTCGCCCACGAGGCCCCAGAGACGGAGCAGTACAATCATCCCCCCTCTCCACCTCCCGCCAGCCTGGGGCTCGGGAACAGTGTGCAGAATGAGCCCATGTGCTCAGAGACATCCGAGGACATGCCCTCCCCACAAGGCCCTGCCAAGGGCCGGAGCACAGCAGGGAGATTCCCTCTTAAGTGTTGTCAGATTTAGCAAATAAAAAGCCAGGATGCCCCGTGAAATCTGAATTTCAGATAAACAATGAATTTTTCACTATTCATGACTCCATATTCAGTAATTCATGACTCAATAATTTTTCAGGGTTCAAGTATGGCCTATACAATAAAACCTTTCCATGTAATATTTGGGATACACTTATACTAAGAAATTATCCATTGTTTATCTGAAATTCAGATTTCACTGGGTATCCTGTCTTTCATCTGGCAATCCTCCTCTGAGTGCCGGGGGGGGGGGGGGGAAGGAACACAGAGCAGCTGCTGATCCCTGGGGGCCACTTCGAGGTCACATCAAGGTCCTCTCACCCGAAACCACCCCCTGATGCACTGCCTCAGCCAGACGTTTCTCCAGAGGGGGACAGCGCTCAAACACTGCTGCTGGCCGCTCCAACTTGACCGCCGGCGCAGTCCCCGTCTGGGGCTGAAATCTCCTGCAGCTTGGCTGGAGGGGCGCTGAGTGCGGGGAGTGAAGGCACCAGGTTAGGAGAGCCGTGGGTCTGCAGCTGGAGCTCAGCCACTCCGGCTCCGCTCACCCATCTGATACCAGAGTCCACTCCACGGTCTCCAAGTTTCCACCCATTGTTGAGCAATTAGACGCTCCTCCTTGGGAAGGTGGTCAATATGCTAGGTTAGTGCCCAAAGGAGCTAATCAGGCCTGGTTTTCAATCTGCACAAGATACCCTCAAGGATGGCTTGAGAGGCTTTGCTGCAGGAAGGCAAGAAAGGGGAATCATCCCTGGAAGAACTCGTGGAGATTTCTCCTTTTTCGGGGGGAGGATGCTCAAAACTCTCTAAGCACCAAGGGAAGGTTGGGGATGGCTCCCTGTGCTGCTTGTGGGGCTGGGCTGGGCTATGGGGTCCTAGGAAGGTGAGGATCCCCCAAAGTGAAGGTCAGAGGATCCTACCCAGGAGTCGAATCTGCCCATTTTCACCTGGGCCTCTTCTCGCCCAGGTCCCAGGGCCAACAGGGACTTGGCAGAAAGGTTATCACCCTGGAGGAATCACAAATCCTACTGATTCCTCAAGCTAGGCAGTCCCTGGAAACCCCAGCCAGCTCCTGAGAAAACCCAACATGGCAGTAATCTGAGTTTGACAGCCGAGCAATTTCTACCTGAGCTGTTCAGAACAAGTGATGGTATGTGTGGAGTCTTTATTCACGTTCTGCGCTCAGCACTTTCCTAGCACTGCATCTTTACAGCACAGCGGAGGCTCAGGGAGGGTAAGAAACTTGCCCCAGGGCTCAAGACCTGCAGGCGGCTGAGCAGGGTCCCAGGTCATCAATGGGTGAGCAGTGAGAGCTGCCCTCAATCCAGAAGACACTCTCCAATTTACATAAGAAAAATCTACAGGTCCTCTAAACTGCAGGTGTCTCCCAGCCAAGATGCAGTTCACAGAGCTTGCACCTGCCCGTCAGCTGTAGCAGAAGGAAGCGAGTCACTGAGGGGATGGGGGTGCTGACGGCCAGCCTCTGCCTGGATGTCCTGCCTTTGGGGCTCAATATGATCCTGGAGGTATGAACACCTCGAGTGGCCGCACACAACTTGGCAGGACGCAGTGGGGCCGGGAAGATCTCAGAACAACTCAAGGAAGCCTATTATTCTTTCCCATTACTGTCATTTCATTTTTTACTATGAAAATTTCAAATTAGGGCAAAAAGCAGAGCAAATGGTATAATGAACCCCCATGACCCTTTATCTAATAAAGTCTTAACCCTTTTCCACATTACATCATTTTTACCTTTTTGCGAAGGTGTTTTAAAGTAAATTATAGTCATCATGACATTTTACCCCTCAACACTTCAAGGTGTATTTCTAAAATACTAAGAACATTTTCCGATTGAACCACAATACCATGATCACCTCTAACAAAATGAACGATAATTTGTTGGTGTTACCTCATACCTAGTCGGTGTTTGAACGTTTGAATTTTCAAATGTGCCTACTGCTTCTGGGATTTCTTAAAAAGGGGCGGACTCCACCCCAGGATGAAGCTGGCAATTCTCCAGCAGGTTGAACGCAGCCTCGTTCAGATCAGATTCCCCCTCGGGGATCAGGTGGGTTCTGACCAGAAGGTGAAGATGGTGGTGCCTTTTTCACCACAAGTTGCTAACAGCTTGAATGGCCTAAAAACATTAAAAACCAATGTGTATCTGCCTCAGATCCAGGTTTCTGGCCTCCCTTGAGAAATGGCCCTCATTACTGGAAGCACAGGGCTACCATCCCACCCAGCCTCCTCCCCTCAGTTCCGTCCCCGGCCTGGCCTCTGTGGGACCCCGAATTTGTACCACCTGGATTGCCTGAGGCCCTACAGAGCCATCCAAGAGCCACCCTGTGAGACGGTCACGTTCCAGGTGACCACGTTCCAGGTGACGTTCCCTCAGGCAGAAGAACGGCCTGCACCGCCATTGGCCAGCTCTGCTGTCTGGCAGCTAAACCACGCAGAGCTGGGGTTTCTCACCTGTAAACTGGGGATTAGGATGGTGCCTACGTCATTCATGGCCGCCGAGGCTAAGCGCCCGGTAGCCAGCATCGCCTGCCAGGCTCTGCGACAGAAGCTGATGATTCTGGACGTTCAGCCAGGAAGCTTTCCTCAGAGAGTTTCTATGTGTACGACGGGGTGGAGCCAGGCAGGCAGACAGACAGTGGGGAGCCAGGCAGGGGCAAGTGCTGGGACGTCGCCATCCATGTGTGATCAGGGAAGCGCGCTGGAGGTTTGCACGAGGAACGGAGAGAGCATTTCACTCAGGGGAGGCCTCCTGAAGGTGCTGCTCCAGCAGCTCTTGGAGGACAGACACCTGTCAGGGGTCTAGGTGGGTGCCCTCAGTGGGGGAAGGGCATGCCAGGCGGAGGGAACAGCAAACGCAAAGGCCGAAGGCAGAAGGAGTGTAGCTTACGGGAGCAGCAGAAAGCAGGCCCACGTGGCTAGGCTTAGTGGTTCCCCAGAGCTGGAGCTGGAGCAGCAGCAGGATCACGCACAGCCTTGTGGACCAAGAAAGAAGCTGATGGGGGTGGGACCCAGGAGGTGCATTTGGAAAGACTGTTGGTGGGGAATGAGCCATAGCAGCCTGAGGCAGAGAGCTTTCACGACACTCCCCTGCTTGGAATTCTTTAGTGGCGTCCCATGAACTCTGCCCCCTCCCAACACGCACATCTAAACCCTTAGCGTGGCTCGCAGGAACCTTCTCCACGTGGCCCCAGAGTGCCCTGCCGACCACTTCCCTTCACGGCCGCCCCCCCCCCCCCAGCAACACGTCCCGCGTCCTGGAGATCACAGCAGCCCCATCAGCATTTGTTGCAGGAACTTAGAAATGTGGGAGGTGGACTGAGGAGCAGCAAGGCAGGCCGCCGGGGAGAGCAAGGCCAGAACAGAGACGACAAAGCCCCCTGACCCGGGAGGAGGATGGACAGAAGCAGCTGCAAGCGCGCCCTCTGGCTCCCAGCTCCCCGTGGGCAGGGAGTAAAGGGCAGACAACAGGTAATGAGTGAGCAAAGACAGGGAGCTGGTCCTGCAGGGACCCCGTCTGTCACCCAGGACCCCTGGGAGGACATGAGCATCCACATAGGGCCTGCCCCGCTGGGTAGGGGCCAGCACTTAAAGGGCCAAGGAACGTTTGTGAGTTTTTTGGTTGCGCTCCTAAGGCGGCAGCCAAAACGCAGCATTAGAAGCGATGGGCTGGACTGAAGCCCAGCTCGTGGAATCTGCCAGACGCC